AACAATTTCCAACTTTCTTCAGACGCAATCTACCATATTGCTCAAAAGAATGCAAAAAAAAAAAAACAGCAAACGTATACTAATAAGGTGAATTTTGGAATATTGGGCTACCATATAGGATCCATTCACAAAAAGGAGATAGATTATTGTTATCGGTCTACGTTGCAATAAAACCAAAAGCTATGACACAACAATGTGGACGGTTTCTATCGATGTCAAAGCTACTTCAAACTCCCATACTAGTCAATTCGGGAAAACACCAACTTTATATGTCGCTTTCAACCAGAACATAGGAATCTTCTACACAATTACCATTAGTTGCAATAATCATAGATATTGCTAACCATAGAATATTCAAACCCATATCAACTACTTCCAAAGATGAGGAAAATCGTATTTTTTTTAAAGTAGAATTCGCCAATAAAGGTTTAAATACTATCAATATTAGCAATATTTTCCACCAGAAATCTGTACAAAAACTATACCTGATTACTTCAAAAAAAAAAGCCACACCTGTTATAATATACAATTATATTCCAGCTGGTCATGTTATTACTGGCGACCTTGGCATCGGAACCAATGGACAACTAAGAGAGTTGTTAGCCAAGGGCCCAATCTATAAAATACCCCAGCCTATCAACTGGAAAAAGAACTTCAGGTTACTGATGGATGCAGTTGAAGACTATGCTATAAAATGGGTAAAGCGCGAACCAGATGAACCAGACCTGGACACTTTGTACGAATGGATCAAAGCTATTCGATCATGCATTCAGAAGCGCATTCAGAAACTACGATGTACTATGAGCTCAAGGGTTTCTAACCCATTCAAGAACCCGGATGTTTTGGGTGCTTTATCCTCTTTGCATGACAAATATGGCATTGTTCTAGCAGATAAAGCCCCCAATAATATTGTCTTCGTATGTAAAAACCATTATTTGCAATGTCCCACGTAAGAGCTTGGAATAAACAGCACAACTGGTAATCCAACATATTCATTAACATCATTTACAATGGATGAAATTTTACATAATCGCAAATCTGTCTTTCTTTCTTTTGGTATTAATATCAAAGAAAACGAAGAAAATCTACCGTCATTATACTGGATACAAAAACTTCACAAAACTCCTTATAAAGAACGATACATAGCTGGATCATCAAGATGTTTGACTAAACATCTTTCTAAAGTGATGATTACTATTTTCCTTCAATAAAAGATGGCCTTCAAAAATATTGTGTTGAGATATATTCAATCAGTTGTGTCAATCAGATATAGATTCATCAAAAATTCTAAAGATCTACTGCTAAATCTTAGATCACAATCTCTGCAATTTTGCAGCAACAATAAGACCGTTGAGTTTTCTACGCTTTACACTACTATTTGCCTTCCCAATTTTAAGATCGACTTCACCATCTCATTAAACAGAGCTTTTTCTATACAAATGGGAATCGTAGATATACATTTCTTGTTTTGGGTTATAATAATTCTTATTTTGGGAAGAACCACACTGATTCTATCAGAAAATACACTGAATATGATATTATCAAAATGCTGGACTTTTTTAATCGACAATATATTTGGTGAGTTTGGAGGATTGATATTTCAACAGACAGTCGGTATTCCAATGGGTACTACTTGAGCACCCCTTCTGGCCGATTTGTTTGTGTACTCGTATGAAGCAGAATTCATTTAGAACCTTCTAAACGACAAGAAGAAAAAGCACCTTGCGAAATTCTTTAATTTTACTTTCAGATATATTGATGATGACCCATATTTCAGTCAGTACTTGCATTTCATATATCCCAGTGAACTTGAAATCAAGGATACTACTGATACTAGAAGTACTGCCTTATACCTTGATCTTTTCCTCAATATTGACACTAAAATCTATGACAAACGGGATGACTTCAACTTCCTAATTATCAATTTCCAATTTCTCAGCAGTAACATACCCTCTGCTCCGTCGTATGGTGTTTTCAAATCTCAATCGATACGTTATGCTCGTGCAGGTTCACACTATACGGACTTCATATACAGGAGTGTGCTCCTTTTGCAAAAACGGCTCCAACAGAGTTATGAGGAGGAAAGATTAAAAATGACACTCCGTAAATTGTATGGACACCATCCCGTGTGTGACGTGCAGTTTGTGGTGTCCTGTGCTGTCGTTAATGGGAGATGTCCGTTGTTATTCTGCGGTTTACATGTTGTAATGTACTATTATACTATTTAGTTATGCATTTATTGCGTTCTTGCGTATGTTTGTACTGTATCCCTGTCACGTAGTTATGTCATTTTAGCGATATTTTTTAATACTGCCATATAAGCGGGAGGTTTGGCTAGCCATAAAACCAGGTTCAGCCCTCCATTTTTCTATAAATGTCTTGTTCCTAGTCAGGAATATGGCAGTTGTTAGCAAATAGTCCGTTTCTATGTATGTTGGCGTTTGGTTTTGATGTAGTTCAGTGTTTCTGTTGTTCCGTTGTTTTCCTCTTCTAGTTGATGTGTTTCCTTCATTACATTATATATATTTTCGCATTGATCGCAATGGTGGTTTAGATAACTTGCATGAAGGAAATACTTACCTTTGGTCGAAACCTCCCCATCAACCGCAATGTAATGTAAAAAAGGAAGAGAAGACCTCAATGAACCCATTGGTGTCAACCGAACAAACCCTTAGCCTAAGACACTTAAATCGGTCAAGTGTCTCCAAAGCCTCAACAACCCTAATGCAGTGCAATCATAAACAGAGGAGATCAGTGTGTCAATCTGTGTCACCAAAACCACTTAAAATATAATAATGAATATGAAATTTACCCCGTTTTTTAAACAACTGTTCTATAGGTATTCATCTCTTAGGGCGTTCGTTCCATCGCTAAAGAGTTTTCGTTCCATCGCTATATGGCGGGCATTTGTTTTATCGTTCAATCGCTATAGAGATGGAGCGATGCAACGAACGCCCTATAGAGAAGAAACGAACGCTCTATAGCAATGGAACGAACGCCCCTAAGCGATGTATAGCGATAAAACAGTTATTTAAACAACGGGGTAAATTTTCATCTTCTTAAAATTTATGCCTCAGACACTAAGTGGTTTGGGTAACATAGAACGTTTTCACAAACACCACATCAAATAATATTTTTTTTTATACTTTCTAACTAACAAGATCGCTTATGAAAAATACTCATTATTGTTCTTTCTACTTGTTTTTAAACCTTTCCTTTTGTATAGGTTGTACAAATGTTTTGTACCGAAGGTTCTTTCTCATTATTGAGTCCATTACAGGCCCACACCTTAACCTTTTCCCTTCCTCTATTTTTCACAAAAAATATTTTTTACCTTTACAAAACTTAGTCTCTACTTCTCTCACCTCCAAAATTCTATAAATCAATCCGATGGGGAGTTCCTTCTATTTCAAAATTTCATGATTTTGCTCCTGTACCTTTTCCTCGAAGGCGTTGTCGCTGAAATTCATCTTTCATATTTTCAAATTCATAGCTTTGTATCAAATACATAATTTTATTTTTATCAGTTGTCATTCTTTTATTTTATTTCAATTGAAAAATCATTCTTTTTTTTTTTGTTTAAGAAAGGTCATCATGTTGTATAAGTTAGTAACTAATTCAAACGCTGTTTGTTTAGCATTTATGTTGAATTTTGGAGGTAAGATGCTACATTTCTACTACAAAATGGAAGGGGGTGTAGATTGGCCTTGTTACACTACTATGCCATACGTGTGTCTCGTCTACATAACACTCATGAGTGACACTCGAATTATAACAGTTCGCTTTGCCATATCGTTGCCAACTCGTTTTGGACTATGGGTTTGAATATCCCTTTGATATCTCCGGCTTCTCTTTGGAAGGCTAAATCAATTTAGCTGAAGAGCACTGAAAACAAAAATTTCCAAATCTTGTGCATTGGATAAAAAATGAATGGTGTTTCAAATGAATGATTTGAATATTGAACAAACAGTCAATTTTTAGGAAATGACCGCACCAGTAAAATTTCACTTCAGTGACTACTTGGATATTATTAACTAAAACTAATCAAAGATACAAGGCTTCAAACAGTTTCTTTAACAAATATGAATGAAAAAAACAAGAGACACAATCTAAGGGAATGACAGGGTAAGCAAAATGACAAACAACAAAAACAAAAAACTACACTCACAGAAATAAAACATTTTATGACACAAACACCAGTATAGATAAACTAAGCCAATGTAAGAAGTGCCTATGTTTTGCGTCAAAAGCTTTGTAACATATTTTCAAAATCGAAAACTTAATTTTATGAAATCCTTACAGAATCAATTTTATATAGGATTATATAATTATGAGTATGTTCGGTTAAATGCAATTTAAAAGTCTCATAATAGATGTAATTTAACATCTTGATGTAGAATACAGTATAGAAAATAGACATATGTCGATTTTGTCAACAAACAGGCAGAAGTAAACAAAAAGAACACTTTAGTGATGCAGCTTCTCGCTCCTTCTTAATTGGAACGTTAATATGAGTTATGTAATATTACCTTTTTTATAATAAGAAGTCACATACGGTTGATTTTGATTTAGAAGCGATCATCAATACGAACCTTCAGAAATCTCGTTTATACATTTGTTTAAAAACAATATCATTTGCTATGTTATTTTTTCTTCAATCTTACCTTTCAAATATTGACAAATCTCGCGTTTTCTGAACGCATCTATCCCATCGAACTTGAAATAAAAGTTAAATAGATGTAGATTGATAGAGGGTTGCTGCTTTCAAGGAATCTATTAAACCAAGATTTCAAGGCGGTGAAGCAACGGATATATAATACCAGATTTGTCTAGTCATAAACAACGCGACGCTTGCCATAGTTCCACGGAAAGTTCATTAAAACTTCCTGGGTACCTAGTTTCCGTCCCGGTCATTTGATTGGGTTAGTGTTGCTGAATCCTTGATTTTCTGGTTTGTTCAGTAGTTTTTTCCTCTATTGTAATGAAAAACAAAATGAAAATAAGCAAAAATTATTTTGGCACCTTTTAATAAGAGTTTTTTTTCTTCCAACTTCTGTTTCGTCTACCACTCCTTCTGGGATAACCGGAATTGTTTATTCTACTCCATGGTCTTAAACTCAATCTAGGAAAGTTTTGACAAGGTATACGTGGAGCTCTATAGAAAACATAAAAAGTATATTTGATTTAAATGAGTATTTCTAATATGATATCAAAAATAAATGTACAGTGCTATGGCAAAACAAATTTAATATGAATCAAGGAAGGGAAAATTCAAACAGAGTTTTTGGTGATTTACATTACACTGACCTTGTACTGGTAGGTATAATGATTATTTTGTATGAAATCTTAAAAGATTAATTATTCATGAAATTTATATATTTCTTTAAATCATATTTTCTTTGCCGTTTTTTTTTTATGCATCTTATTTTCTTTTCAGAACTGTTTGATTAGCAAAAATGTATATTTATATGAATGAGTAAGGTCTATACCACTTTAATCGTATTTCCAGAAAAATCAAGGGCAGATAATTACATTAAGATTGATAGGACAATTTTGTGATTTTGTTAGATTTTTCAAGCAAATACGGCTCATGACCCTATCTTTATTTGATATTTCGAAAGTATTTATGAACAGCAATTCTCTAATTGAATTTTAACCTATTCTATTGTTTAATGTTTCCTCAATGGGGCAAATTAAATGTCTACTATATAACCTATCTAAAATAACTGTGATTTCGTTATTTTATATGTATTTTAACGAAAACACAAGGTCCATAACCCCCATTTTTTTTTATTTTGAAATGTGCATGTGCATTAACCCAGATGTCTTTAAGAGAAATTTAATAAAACTCTCTCTTGGAACATTTAGACACCTATGGTACCTTAAATGTATATTTGTAACTTTTATTAATTGTAAACAATTTGAATTTTTATAATATCTTATAAGAAATGCCGACTGAGTGTCTTATTTACTAAGAAAATGGGATATTCACCAAGACATTTGTTATAGCAGGATTGTCCAATATCCTGTAATAGATAACTGCATTAAATGTTGGAAATGTGATAGAAAATCAGGATATTCCCGTATCACAGCTCTTAACACAATTTAAGAAATTCAATGTCTTGCAACAACGAAGTAAAGGTTCTGAAATAATTTCCATGTTCAACAATAAAGTTTTTCATCTAATTTTTTTTTCTATTTAATATTTTGGTTTAAAGGCCTGTGCATTTTGCTTGAAATTCAACTATTTCATGCAGCTTAAGATATTTAGACTTAGACTAAATAAATACCATAATAGGCCTCAAAAGAGGTGAAGGATACCAGAGGGACATTTAAACTCATAAGTCGAAAATAAACTGACACACCAAAAACTAGGGGTGATATCAGGTGCTCCGGAAGGGTAAGCAGATTCTGCTTCACATGTGGCACCCATCGTGTTGCTCAGGTTCAGTATAAATTTGAATCTTCTGACGTTTTTAGTTTTTTATACATAGTAGAATAAATTAAAGAACCTTTGTGAGCACGCTCTCATACTCCACGCTCAACATTATCCTTGGGCAAATTAAATCTCACCAGATTCCTATGTTTAAAGACTCATAAATCCTACAAAAGCCAACTGATAAAAATTTCTTTTGGAAATGCACATCTACATATTATGTCCCTAATATCTACAAAGTTTCATGAAATTCAGTTGCGTGGTTTCAGAGAAATTGCAATGACAAACTTTACAGAATTATGTTTGGGCCGAAATTCAGAAGTTCAAAAGGGCATAATTGCATCGTAGTTTTTTGTCGATAACTATTGAAAAAGTGTCATGAAATTCTGTTTTGTGGTTTCAGAGGAGTTGCAGTTGCAGAGACAAACAGAAGTATATTTATGCCAAAATTTTATAATGTTCAGCAAAGTAAGATCTACAAAAAAGTTGATATGACCAAAATTGTCAATTGACCCCTAAAGGAGCTATTGCCCTTTAAAGACAATTTTACGCAATTTGTTGAACATTATTGCTGCTTACAGTTTATATATATCTATAATAATATTCAAAATAATAACAAAAAACTGCAAAAATTTGTTAAAACTACCAATTCGGTGGCAGCAACCCAACAATGGGTTGTTCGATTCGTCTGATAATTTCAGGGCCGATAGATCTTGACCAATTAAACAATTTTACCCCATGTCACATTTGCTCTAAAAGATTTAGTTTTTGAGATATAAGCCAAAAACAATTTATAAACAATATACCCTAAGGAACATTTAGTTAAAGTTTGAAGGTAATTGGCCCAGTAGTTTTAGAGGAGAAGATTTTTAAATGTTAGCAAACTTGATGAACAAATTGTGTAAAATTGTCTTTAAAGGGCAATAACTCCTTAAGGGGTCAATTGACAATTATGGTCATAATAACTTTTTTGTAGATCTTACTTTGCTGAACATTATTGCTGCTTACAGTTTATATATATCTGTAATAATATTCAAAATAATAACAAAAAACTGCAAAATTTTGTTAAAACTACCAATTCGGTGGCAGCAACCCAACAATAGGTTGTTCGATTCGTCTGAAAATTTCAGAGCTGATAGATCTTGACCAATTGAACAATTTAACCTATGTCAGATTTGCTCTAAAAGCTTTAGTTTTTGAGATATAAGCCAAAAACTGCATTTGACCCCTATGTTTTATTTTTAGCCATGGCGGCCATGTTTGTCGATGGATCAAAATTTCGGATACAATTTATAAACTAGATACCCTAAGGAACATTTAGTTACAGTTTGAAGGTATTTTGCCCAGTAGTTTCAGAGGAGAAGATTTTTAAAATAGTTTACGACGACAGATGACGACAGACGACGACGACAGACGACGACAGACGACGACGACGACGACAGACGACGGACGACGACGGACGCCAAGTGATGGCATAAGCTCACATGGGGCCCTTCGGGCCCCGGTGAGCTCAAAAGTTGAATCTTATATCCTGTCAATATGCACATTTACTTAGTGTATCCTAATTATCTACAAAGTTTCATAAAATTCTGTTGTGTGAATTCAGAGGAGTTGCGATGACAAGACCAGGACTGACGGACGGAATGACGGACGGATATACTGATCGATAGAATGACGGACGGACGGGTTAAAAACATTATAACCTAATAGTATAATAACAGACTGTGATCAAGTATTACCCAGTTAACGGAGACACAAACGGATTTGCAGGCATTGAATTCACATCCAGAGTCCTACAATAAAGTGCCGACAAAGACTGTCTTTTAATCTGTTCCAATTGAGCTGAAATAAATGCAAAAAACATTTTTTTAAGTTTGTGTATACCTCAATAGATTATGAACCCATGTGATGCTTGCACTTGATGAATAACAGTTCATGTAAATCTTAACTGTTTACACTTGGCAATATCCTTTATTGAAAAATCAAAGCATTCATTTCCATTTAAACAAAATTACTTATCGATGGTAGAAAAATGTATGGACTGTTTTTAAATAATAAGAGAAAAGTTATTCGATTATTTTACTGTTTTTTTTTTTCAATTGTGTATCAAGAATAACTTATTAGTAAAGAATTAAACATTGATTTGAATACTTAATTTTGTCCCCATTTTTGTTTACAGGATAATGTAAAAATATTTAATTGAGAAATAAAACAGTAAAATTTTCAATTAACTGACAAAAAAGTTATTTGTTAGTTGTAACTTATCATTTCATTAAAAAAACTTAATAGAACATATAATGTTCATGTAATTTCAACATTTTGTTATAAAAAAGGAATACTAAAAAGAAATATCATTCCTGTAGGAGAAAAAAATGGTCATCTTCAGCTTTTTGTGGGTGATATGATATTGCAATATTAGTTTAAAGGTTAAATTGTATAATAGAAATAATGCCAAGACATAAATTTTGATTAATAAAATATATATACTAACCAGCAGTGAAACCTGTGGGAACGAATTCGTTCTCATAAAAAAACCGGTCACCTGTCTTATATAACATGAACTGAAGTCCAATTATACATCTGAATGTTGGTCCCACCAGGGCACCTGCTACTGGTGTCTCTGACAGTCCACCAGCAAATAAATCGATATCATCAGGGTGGCTAAAAGGTAAGAAAGATGATTTCGATTAATAATATACTATCACACTAATCATGTATATCGTTTCAGTGTAACATTGATCTTGTCAGGAATGCAAACTTCAAATACTGTTTTACCTGAAAATGGATTTCTAATATCTCCTGTGCTCCTGAAGGGTAAGCAGACAAAAATGGAATACAATAATCTGTTACAATTTATCTATTGGGCATGTTGGCTTTGTCGTTTATCCTATCATAGTATGAAAATGTTCAAATCATGTTTTTTTTTCTTCAAAACAACGTCGTTTACATACACAGTTATAATATTTCTGCAAAGTCACGGTGCAAACTAGATTCGAGGATGAATAATGGTCACAAAAATGTCTCAAGACTATGCAAATTTTGTCAATTTGGAATAAATATAAAATGTAAGTGATTTTTCTACATTAACATCTACGCAAAATTTCAGTGATATTTAAATGATTATGTTGCTTTTACCTATGAATCTAATTATTTCACAATATATGAATTGTTAGGCCACATAAATCATTTAAAGCACACTCACCTTTCGACAAGGAATTAATCTATTTATTAGGTTTATACTCCTTATAGAGATTTCCAATAAAATGACTTTACTCGACATAACCGACCTAACTCAGCGTATTTTTTCCTATTGCATTGAAGCATGACGGAGAGGAGCATACACTAAATGCATTTTTTGCTCTTTCGACACGCATTTTTTGCTGATATAGACTAAATGTAAAAATTAACCCAACTACTTCTTTTAATCTTTAAATACTTTGTTATTAAATTTTGAAAGATTTTATTGACAAAAATATTTTAATGGAATAAGCAAGCTAGCAACTTGTAATCAAATACACCCATCATTTCTTGTCAATTCACTTGACCCATATTTCAGTTCTTCTCAAAATATGAATTTAAAAAACTACCAAGTAAAAATTTAGCATGAAAATATTAAAATAATGAAATCCGAAGCGAGAAGGTTATCTCTTTTTTTGTTTTTATAAGTTTTAACGCTTAAAAAACAGATTCCAACACACCCGAATGTAAAAGGTGTACGCGACTAACTTTTTTTTTAAATTATTTTTCTATAATTTAATTCAAGATAATTTGACGTGAACAGAAATTCATATCATTGATACATTTATCAAATAGTACTTTTTAGTCTTTAACTATGATAATGCATGGGACGAGGTTTTTGTCCATGTATAACTAAACGTGCATTCGCAGATACAGGGGGAGAGGGCGTACTCCCCCTTTCGATCGCCAAATAATTTTGAAAATCTCACGTTATCTATACAAATGTTTAGTATAAAATCGTCCAAATTTTTTTTCGCGTTGCTCCGCTCGGCAGTATAAATTCAATTATCGGGAACTACGCCCTTTTTCGAATATCTTGGATCCGGCAATAATCACAAATTGTATAGCACAAAAAAAAAAATTAATGATTGTCGTTTGACTTTGATAAATACGTTTTAAAAACCACAATGTTTGAATATTAGACATCTCGCACGGGATTTAAAACTTAAGGCTACATACTGAATTGGATTTTTTCCTGGATTTAGAGCTCACTTAACACGGAAATGTGATACTGGAGTGTAATCTAATGGATACATATTCTTGTTTCTGATGTTTCTTTTAATGTAAATATTCATTTATTAAGTTATATATAATTCCACTAACAAATAATCATGTATCTTTTACTGATGAATTATCATTACATTTTATAGAAACTACATATAATCTACTATACAGTTATGAATACTAATGGTCCTACCGACACTCTGTGCTTTTGACATGACACAAGGTCTTGCTTTTCTAGAGTGTTTATGTACTTTTTTACTTTATTTGTGATATGTACAAAAAAGATGTAGTATGATTGCCAATGAGACAACTCGTCACAAGAAACCAAATGACACAGCAATTAACAACTATAGGCCACCGTACGACCTTCAAAAATGAGTAAAGCCCATACCGAATAGTCATCTATAAGAGGCCACAAATGACGAATGTAAAACAACTATAACGATAAAACTAACGGCCTAAGTAATGTACAAAAAAATGAACGAAAGCACAGCAACAAACGATAACCATTGAATTACAGGCTCCTTACCTAGGACAGTCACATCCATACATAATGTGGCGTGGTTAAACATGTTAACGGGCCCTCTTACCTGGGACAGTGGTGTAACAGTACGAAATAATTGATTAATATTCTAGACTGATTAATTATTCTGAATTTATTAGTTGTAGCTGTTTTTAAGATAGTGTTCAGTAGCTGTGAATACTCTAAGATCGGTACATGGAGTTTATTTGGTAGTACTAGTAATTGCTGTTTTTGTACTTCGTTTCAGTCAGAAGAGTCAATCCCTTTCTTACTGTTTTAACTGTGAGTATAGATATGATCATTTGATAAACACACTTCTATGATCTCCATTTCTTTTATCTTGGACATTTATAAAACTTGAACTATGTAGCAAAGAGATGCATGCGTAAAAAAAGTTCGCGACATAAATTGGCTAAAATATCAGATAAGGATTTAGCCTCAAGCTATAATACTTACAAGCTATCATGATAAATACGACGAAGATCTAGCCTCAGGCTATAATACTTATGATGATGATGATGATGGTACTGATGTATGTCTTATATCCAGCGACAAATATTACATATATATTAAGGATGATGAAATGATAATGATAAATGAATATACCTTTTTGTACATGACCAACACTTAAGAGTCGCATTTTTATATGCTAGGTAACAAATTAGCGTACCCGATACAAAGACACACTGGGGGTCCAACAAAATTATTGAACCCGTAATTGAGGCTAGCCTGCTACCAGTCAATCCCATATTTAATAAAAACCTGTTAATATATTTTATGCTTTATGTGCATATCTTATTATTCTAGCAACACTTGTTTTGTTTTGATAACACTTTTTGTTGCATAATTTGTTTGATTTTTCTCCTTGATTCTTTGTATCAAAAAGCTTAGTTTTTATTGTAAAATGGTGTTTCACAGCTTCCATTATCCTTGTGACTTGCTATTGTATTAATATCCAGTAGGCATGCAATTATTATTCTAAATAGTATAAAATATTTTTTAACAAGTAAAGATTACTCCGTTTTGATCCAGACTTCCTTACCACTAGCATCTAAGATACATACACTGACAAAATATTGTACCCGCACTCATATTACAATCACCCTGTCTGTCCGTCCGCCAGTCTTTCCGTTCAACAAATATTTTCAATTTTCTTTTCAAAAGCATTAGTATGCTTAGCATGCATTCTTTCTTCGATTTATTCCATTTCATCCGACATGTATATATCTGGATCCGTGTCGAGCGTCCAACTATCAAACAGAGTCCAAATGGCGTGAATAACGACTACAGTGGCTCCTGCTGTCGTCAACAATAAGCAAAAACTCATACCGTATTATAATTATCAGATACTAGTATATGATGCATTGACTTTGAAAAATATAAACAGTTCAAACGAAAATAAAACATCTTTACAAGAGTAAAATTAACCCAAAAATGACAGAAAGTAAAAACACGACATCCACTGAATTGAAAGCTCCTGACTTGGGAAAGCCAATATAGAATTTGGCCTTATTAAACGCGTTTACCAGCGTTCAACACTCTAGCGTAACAGCACGATATAAGAAATAAAACCGGTTAAATTCAGTTGGAAATAGCTCAACTAATCAATATTGAATTAATCCCAAAACAATTACATTTTTATGATGAAAGACACAGAGTTCCAATCTTAAAGTACCCCAGGTACTGAAAGCTGATTCTTATGTTCATGTTGAATTACCTGAGTTAAAAAAAATAAGGAGATATGATATGATTGCCAATAAGAAATGAAGTGGATGTAAGCAATGATAGGCAACTGTACGACCTTCATCAATGAGAAAAATCCATACCGTATAGTCGACTATAAAAGGAACCAACTTGAAAAATATGAAACAGTTCAATTGAGAAAACTACCGGCATGATTTAAAACAAAACAATTTACGAAAAACAAATATAACAGATATGAACCAACGACAACAAGTGAACCACAGGCTCCTGACATGGGACAGGCACATAAAGAATGAGTGCTCAACCCCTCCTCCTAAGCCTGGGACGGTGGTGCAACATCACGACATAAGAACAACCTGGAAAAACCTTCCTTCAGAGAGCTTAGTTTACACATATATACATATTTAAAGTTATTATGGATATTAAATTTGTTTTCAGCCGTGTATCACTTTCACTGGTGATCCTATGCATGGATATGTCGTAGAGTTTAACTTAATATATAAATATATATCTCTAAGGCGAGACAACAACTGAAACTAAAAAGTTTTGCTTACCTCAATCAATATGTTATAGTTTAAGAATCCACTTCTAATTGGACTAGTAAGAGTTGTCTTAATCCAAAAACAACTATGACAATATCAAGCCTTACTAATTAAAAGTACATTTTTAAAAGAAAATTACTGTAAAGACTGAAGTGGCATTGTAGTTGTCTTAAAAATGTAACAAGTATATAAATTGGCATTCTCGTCCACTTTAAATCAGAAATACTTCGGGACAGGACATTTTTTTAGCCAATTACTATGTACTATAAATTGATTGTTTACTATCCACAGCGGTCAATGTTTATATGCAGATTAGTCATCTATTGCTAATCAAGTACACCTTTCAAATTACAATCTATATAACGAATTGGTGTACACATTTATTTACATATATTATTTTGAATTACAAAATTCTTTTTTTTTAATGTTAGTTGACTTTCATTTGAAAGAAAAGTGTGTGTCAACAATTAAAATGTAAAGAAGTACAAGACCTGTATTATTTTTTTTTTAAATATACACATCCCTTTGTCGAACGGTTTCTCTGGGGAAAAAATCGGAGATTGTAAATAAACAAGATTAACTGCAGAAGAACAGAACGTTTGAAATGATGCTTAATAAAAGTATGATGCAATGCCAGTTATCAATTTTAACAGAGACAAATTCTGACTAACACTTTGAATTCCATATTTCTGAAATTCCTAGAAAAATCTCTGTCTAATAATAAATACCCACGGAAATTGAATATTATAAAACATTAAGAGACGAAAGGAAAAAGGGACACCAATCTGATAACGACAAATAAAAGCATGTCAAATATTAAATAATAAAAGGTTCATTTGCAAAGTATATCGAAAAACAAAATAATGGTCAAAACCATGAAAGACAACTCAAATCAATCGTATGATAGGTAAAGATACGTGTATATACGTGGTCTTATGACAGTGAAGTTTTGGCGGGAATCTCAATAATCACGTGATATATAAAAAATCATGATTTCTTTCTTTTTCATCATCTTAGAAATACTTGATATTGATAAAATTTATCACGAATGGGTTTAATAGTTTTGTAATTCTTAGTTAAAATTTGAGTTACGTATTTAACAAAATTATTAGGTTAGCAATAACCGGTCCCGTTACGTGCGTACGTCGAGTTAGGTACGTATGTCAATTTATTGGAAATCTCTAATACTACCTTAAGGAAATTACACAATCAACATTATTTACCTGTAGACGGAAGCTAATGCTTTTGCAGCCGAAACATGATGGTTGGTTAAACCTAAGTGTCCTGATCCAAAATGTAAAGCAGGCTGTAACCCACAGAACTGTCGCCATCTGTTATATGATGGAATGCCATGGTCTCTACCACGTTGTATGTTAAGTGAACCAAGGTCAAATCCGTTTCCTGGCATTGTTTGAAATAGTCTGTCCCTTACTGCTGGAGTCAGATAACGATCTGTTCTGCTCTTGAACTGTGTTGTCATCCATCTGGCTATTGCATCTGGACCAAATGTAGTAAAGTCTCTTATTAAACGCGTCCTGAAGAAATGGTTTTCCATAGGTTCCCTGGCGCGTGGTGTGAAGTCTTCGTTAAACGATTCAACAAAAGAACCAACAAGAGAATGGCCAAATCGATATGCTGCGGCTGCAAATGCATTTCTCGTAGATGGATTTGCAAAAGGATTATACAATGTATTAAATCCAAATCGATTACATCGTAGCCCAAAAAAGTTCATACCTTCTTTCCCAAGTACTAAAGGAAGATATTCAGTGTAAATAATGTGCTGATAAATTCCTGTGAGAATTTTTTTTGCTTCCTGGTACAGTTCTTCTCCATTAGTCCACCCAGCTGCTCTCAACCTTTCAACAATATTGTTATGCTCACGCAGAAATGCAGTATGTACGACTGTCAGCATTGGATTTTGTGCTGATCTGGTGTCCCCTAGAAAAGAAACATTTCTTTGTTTCTGTTCACAAAGGAAAAGTGTTTTATTTCTCGTTCGTGTAAAAACAAAAGACTCGAAGACTTCTTAATAGTAGCAACGCTGATTTTACAATTCACCGTCGTGTACAAGAATTGCATACGTCCGAAATGTCTCAACAACTATAACTCAAATGTAATCAACTTATTATCAGACGATCATATCTTTTCAAATTATTTAACGATACAATATAATCTTACTATGAAACAGAATACCGAAAAGAAATAAGTTAAAAACTACAGTCATTGCCTACCAGATTTGAAACACTCGTCCCCTGATACACAACCAAAAGGACCAGTAGGCAGAAGTCTGTTAATGCCTTCTTGAAGTCTGCCTATAAAAATCAGTATACAAATTAAAGTAATGAAACAGTTATGCAATTTATGAAATATAATAATGTTACCTAGTTTTCAAAAAATAATTCAGACATAATTTAGAATGTTAAAACTTTTATAACTAATAATGGCTAAAAAACTTTTTATAACTGGTAATAAGTAAAATTACACCATTTCATTATTACTTTAATTTTCTCTTCATATTCTCTAGATCTGTACACACAACTTACTAAAGATTGTCTTTTTTATTTGTGATCGAAATGGAAATAATAAGGAAAGGTTAAGAAAGAATTATGCATGCTTTCATGCATTTTCTACATAAGGAAAATCCTGTTCAAAGTCAGGAATATGACAATTGTTTTCCATTCGTTTTATTTGTTTGAGCTTTTGATTTTGCCATTTGATAATTTTGAATTTTCCTTGGAGTTCGGTATTTTTGTTACTTTAATTTCTATTCCCTATATAGTGATTGTGCACAGGTACAAATAGAGCATACGACAACAATGTTCCTTAAGCTATTACACTACAAGAAACTTATATATATTTCAAATTTGATATCGGATATCTCTTTTGAAACTGTTATTTAATCTTGGTTTATTACCAAGATTTTTATAAGGTTTAATCGACGTAAAGATGTACTTGGAATGTTTTCATATAATGCATGTTTAGAATTGAATTTAAAAGCGTAAGAGGTTCTGTATGCACCCATGCTTTACCAATACATATTCTATTATTCTGAAGGATAATATGAAAACAAAATGTTTCGAGCATTCGATAAAATCCGGGAAGTTTGCCAAAAATATATGATGTGCTTTAATTAGATGTTTTTTCAGTCGTGAACGTAGATGATGTAATTTTCATCAAACCCGGTTTTAGACACGTTACTTCTGTCTTCTTTATAAGACTTAATACGGTGGAAGTAACTTTATAGGTATGAAGTAGGAACTATCAATCGGTAAACCTCGGCAGATTCTGCCACCCTTTTTTGTTTAGATCTGCCGGGGAGTGCCGAATGTAAGAAATACATTAAGTATCAGCTCCCTTATCTTTGTTGTTAAGTTTGAAGTATGAAATGTTTCTTACTTTCAAACGTATAAGTAAGCATAGTATTATGTTGTATATACCTGTTCCCAATTCTCGTAAGTCATTTTGTCCATTAAGCGTGTTTCCATACGTCACAGACAGATCAAGAAACGACGTCCTCTGATTTATTTGATTTCTATATTCTGGTGAAAAATGCAAAAGTTTTATTATATATATAGTTAGCGTTTTCTTGCTTTATTTGTTAAAAGATACATTTTCACAATTCTTGTTTCTTAATTACACGATATTCTGGGAGCAAAACCTAAAAATGAAGTCCCCTTTTGAAGATTTGCTAATTTATTTTTAGCTGTTGTGGTGCTACAGAAAAGCGGTCCATCGTTGATTTAAAGATTGAAAAAAGGGTTGCGTAACTGCATAACTAGTATGACGAACATATTCTTTTAGAATTCATTCAAACGAAGAAAGGGGTTTTTGTAGATTTACCCATACAAGTCGTACGGAAAAACAATGAAAAAGTGAACTATGAAATTTGAATGAGAAAACATCAAAAAGAAACTCTTTAAAACAGTTATTCAATTCTAGTCACAAGTGTAGGGTGATTATATGATTATATTTACAAATCTACTACATATTTTATCAATAACAAACATGTGAAAATAAAAACATGTCGTAGGACGTGACAACTATCCACCAAAGAACAAAATATGAGGGTATAAACAATTACAAGTTAGTGTACGACCTTCAATGATGAGCAAAACTCATATTTTATGGTGAGCTATATACGTCCCATCAAGAGATTAATGTTAAATAATTCAAATTAAAAACTGCATGTACAGACATGAATCAATCAGCAAACGGCAAACGAAAAACATGTAGGCAGAAATAATATATTTTGCTATTTGAAACCAACAAAAATACCTTTTGTCGGAGATGTAATTGAAGATACATAATGTCATTAGGAAAGTATAATTCTCTGAATGCTTCAACAAAACGCGGTAATAAAAGCTATGTAGAAAAAGGACAGACGACTTCAAAAATAAATGTAAAAACGAGTTTACCAATCATTATCAATCTTTAAGCGGAAGGAGGTTCCCTTTTACTACTATGATACGTCCGGTATTGTATTTGTTTTATATCCAAATGTTAACAAATCGTGTGTAACATAAAAAAACGGCCAGAAGAGGTAATTTGGTAATTTTGTTATGTTTATACGATTGTCCAATTTAACCTTTTTAAAAATTAAATTTACCTAGACAAAAAACAAACTGGTTTATTTAGTTTATACTTTGATATCAAAACTTTGACAATTGAAAAAGCCTTACCTGGAGGGCATCCTGGGGCAACACCAAAGTCAGATCTTACAAAAGGCATACAAGTGTTCTGGAAATCACCTGGCGGAGTTCTAAAGGAAAAACACTCTGATCTACAAAATAAAGACAAAAACAAATATGGAAATACAGAGATGTATTTGTGTTTCAACAATGTTTTAAATTCAAAGGTTCTACTTTATGTTCACATTCCATGTAAATGAGATATATGCTGACAGAATTGTCGCCAACTCTCAAAATAGATTGCAACAATTCGAATATTTACATGGTTTATGAGAGAAATAGCAAACTATTCAAATGTTCTAAAAAAATATTTACACAAAACATTTTAGTTTACCATGTTAATCTTCAATTATAACATTGGTTTTAAGTTAAGGCTTCTGACTTTAATAATTACCCCTAAATTAATAATGTAGATTGTTGTGTTTTTAACACTTTGATTAATTGGACATGGTAAGCATAATGTAATTAAATGGTAAAGGGTATTCCAATATACCTGAGATGTGCAATCATGTATATTAGTGCGATATAAAAACTCGAAACTTCCAAGTTTGTACTGAGAGAAGTCAAGTTGGATGTGAGAAATGTCATTCTACTATGATCAAGAGACTATTGCAAATCGTTCTGTATTTCAAGAACGTTTTTCATGCCCAATAAGTATTTTCATACATTAACTGAGAGAAATTTACATTTCTGTATTGTTATTACACTTGCTAACACGAATTGTGTTGTAGTTTGATGTAACTGAAATAAAGACAGCGAGATTTGTTATGATTTTAATTTGATTAACACAAAATCGGAGGAAGTAAGAAAACGGCTAAATGCTGTTTAGGTACTAGTTATTTGATTGTCATCCAAAACAAAAGTTTGTTTACATGCATGCACATTACACTGAAATTACCTGACAACCGGAACATTTCCATTGCAACAAAATATATTTTGGTCACCATCTACAAAAATGTGTACAAACAAATATTTATTACACAAACAACTATGACACATAAAAATCGCTAATATTGACCTTCTATACATATGTTGGATATGTTGAATATGTATTTCTTTTACAAGTTTGATTTACCAGATTATAGAGCGTATTTGTAAACTACCAATTTAAGTACACCCAATATTCATTTCCATTATTTTTGCACAAACAAAAATAACCCAGGAAATTTTTAAACCCTAACGTAGCAGTGCTGTTAAAAAACGATCTGTTCAGGATGTCTATATGTAAATTACTTAAGTAACATGGCCATATTAATACAAACAATTATGTTATAGAGCAAAAACATTTTCCATTTAAACATTATTTGTCTGTTTGGAGTCTTTTTATACAGAAACAATATTAAAATTTACCTTTGAGTATAGGTGTTGAGACGAAATCGTGGTCGATAAACTGTCCAAAATGAGTTAAGGATACACTATAAATTCTACTTCTTGGAGGTGATACACCACCATTCAGGACAGCGTTAGATATCTTACGTGGACTTGGAAGGAGGGGTCCAAGCACACTACGTAAACGTGGAACAGAACCTGTGTTAAATGCTACAATGAAAAAGATGTGTCAAAACTGTGTTGTACATGTATATCAATTTACATGTATACATGTTTCAAATCGAATTAAAAACAGGAGTCAGAAACATTTTATAAAATACTATAAAGCTAAACTCAATACTAAGGAAGACATTACTGGTAAATATTTGAAATATAAGCGATGATTACTTTTTATATCCTTTAATTTTCCAACTTAGTCGAAATAAAAAAAAAACTTACGATCTCCGTATGTAGGGGAGAGAAATCTAGCTTGATTTGTTATAGAGGCTCCCCATAATGGATTGTTTAAGTTGTTGCAAGAGCCATCTGCTGTTCGGTAGCGGTCTTTATGATTACATACAGGGCGACGAACTGGACAATATGGAGCCATCTGTCTGCTGAATTCAGCTGCGTCGGGTGTAGCACCTCCAGTTCTGTAATTTTGATATATTTTATATGTGACAGAAGGAGGATGTGGTTTTTTTTATGTCTTTGGATTGCAGTCTTATTTTCACATACCATACATCTTTGTTATGGTTATTCTGATAAAAATAAAGCGGATTCCAAGTGTCTTATATTTACTGACTATTCATATGAAATTCTAGGATCTCCGATAATAAATTGATTTAATTTTCAAATAAGAAACTGTTCATTCAAACGGTAATGGATCAATGGAGATGTTTCTCTAACATATTTACAACAGTTTTATTTACAAGGCCAATCCCTACCCCAACACAAAGGGAGTGCTAGGACACCGCTCTTAATCCTTCCGAATTTTATGATAAGTTGTGAACAAATTTAACAGAGACCATCAAGGATCTGCCATCAATGCCTATTCCTGAATAACAAACACATCAAGAGAAACATAAGAGAACCACTGAAGAGGCTCAAGGCATTACACAGTGGCGTGACCATATGACGGGGTTCAACCAGTTTTTATTACTTCAACCATCCCTAATTTTGAGTTCGAGTACTGGAATATGGAGAGTTACATACAAGAGTGTACATAGAGAATAAGAGAACGTGAAAAGCTCGAAACTCATTAATAACTTTACAATAGACAATAAAAAGACAAGTACAATCACAAAAATAATATAACTGTAACATGAATTCTATTTTTTTTTCTTTGATCTTCAAGAAATTTAACTGTTATTTTTAGAGGAGTTCATTAATTGGACAGGTTTTTGTTTATTACAATAGACAGGTGCAATATTGCAACCCCGTCGTTGATCACTTGTTATAGGAAAAGCAGAGAATGGGAAGAGCTGAGACCAGGGCATTGTTTCACAAAAATTTGTAGGATCTATAAGTTTTTATTGCACTGTATGGCTCCGTCTCCTTAGACTAGTAAACAACGACAGAGTAAAACAAGAAATAAATTCAATGACCATAAAATTTTGCAATACATTTAAATTGGAAAAAAAATAAATACAACAAATTCGAGGGGAGGGGGTTAACTTATACTAACCCGTACCTTACCCTGATACAAGTCAAACTTCTAAACCTAACACTAAATCAAAACCTATTAACCTAAACTTGAGGCAAATGAATGCCCGAGGGAAGCTACAAAAAGCAATAATGTATGTATAAACGAAGAGACGATATTGATAAATTTCTATCTCAAATATCACAACCACGTAAATAAAGATAAATAGGTCGAAGGTATATATAAAGAATGTTTAATGGAAACCATATCTTCGTTTTTTTTTCGCTTTCCTAGCGACACTGTCCAGTGTATTTAAAGGAGAAAGAAAAACATTTTTGGTTGAATATATACCTATCGTCATGGTGTCAGAATAAATATTCAAATGAAATAGGTCACTAGATGTTCAGTCATTTCATTTCCTCCACTTTATAAAGACCTTACTTCGTAAATTGCACATGATTAAAATATTTATCCCTGGACCTAACTCAATCAACAACCGCTATCAATTAATTAATTTTCCTCTAATGTTCGAAAAGGATTGATTGATTGATTAATTGTTGTTTAACGCCACTTTCAGCATTATTGTGCTATGTCGTGGAGATCCTTTAATTTGGTGGGGTAAGCTGGATTTGCCAGAGAGAAGCCACCGACCTTCGGTAAGAAAACTGACAATCCTAGTCAACCAAGGTTGGAGACGAGTTTCTACGTTATGAAAATTTGTACAGTTATTGATTTTTTAAAACATCTAATATAGACTCTTTTGTATTCCGGTTTCAATAAAACTTTGCACATTTTCGATTTTGACTCTGTAAGTGAAACAATGAGAACATCTTGAGAAACAACTTTATAAGACGAACCCGATTCTGATTCTGATGTATGCTTTGTGTTTGTGTTTTATAGTGACATTTTTTAAAGATATATTGTTTACTTACATGTGTTAGACATAGATATATCATTTAATGAACATTAATAGACATTTGTTTGATTTTATTGTCAGAAAAATGTTATTTCATATACACTTGAATTCAACTCAAACGAGCTTACACATAAAATTCACATGAAAATTTTACGTGAATTGAGATTCACATGAATCTCACGTGAATTTAACGTGAATTTTACACACAAAAAAATGATATGTTTCATGTTTTTAATCAAATTTGAAAAATTAAATGTTATATGAATAATTGTATTCTTAGAACTCACTTGAATTTCACGACAATAAAAATTTATGTGATTTTCACTTAAAATTCACATGCGTTTCACATGAGATTCACGTGAAACTCACCTGAACTGCTTTCACTTGAGTTTCATTTATATGCTCGTTTGAATTTAAATTCACGTGAAATTCATGTGAGTGAAATTTCCCTGTGTAGCAGATTGTCTTTGTTGAATTCCTTTTAATTTGTTGAACAGTCTCATTATTTAACCTTTTCTGATAAATATTTGATTTCATATTATATAATTAGGTTTTTTGAGATATTAATTACAAATGAGTTAAATTTTATTTGACTTTGTTATTTATAATTTGTTTAGAAAAGATGTTTATTCATATTCAAAAATTAATTTATCTTGTGTTGAAAATTTTCAAAACATTAATGACCAAAATTTAGAAACTTTGAAATTTATTAATGAAAAAAAGTAAAATAACAGAAATACCGAACTTCAAGGAAAATTCAAAACGGAAAGTCCTTTATCAAATGGCAAAATTAAAAGCTCAAACACATCAAACGAATGGAAAATAGCTGTCATGTTACTGACTTGGTACAGGCATTTCCTTATGTAGAAAATGGTGGGTACCTAAACCTCTCACTTGTATGACAGTCGCATAGAACTTCATTATACTGACAACAATGTGTGAGCAAAACAAATAGACATAATTATAGGTAAAAATGTCAAACATTCGGATACAGCAGTCAACATTGTGTTATAATATCAATCATTGTAAAAACAATAAAGTATTTAGCTAGCTTTATCAAATTATCTGATTACCAGTCCACCTGTAGGATAGCTGAGCTTATCCAAATATATGAGGTTAGTGCAACTGACACATAATTACTATGTCATAGGCTGTCATTTGCTCCATATCTACATATTTTGAAGTTACATGCCTAAAGTTGTATTTGGAAAATAAATTATGTTTTACATTTATACTGTTTTCGTTTCATTTAGTTTAGATTATTTTAGCGTTATTACATCTATCGTCATTCAGTCAATAAGCTAGCATAATCTGCGCATCCCCAAATCCCCAGCAGAATTGATTCTGTTCAATCGTATTGACCATTGCAAATCACGGGGCCACCAAAGGTTTTTTTTCAACGCATAAAAACGAAGATAATTTGAATATGCCATAAATGTCATCTTTGTATTTTCTTGCACATTAAAAATTTCTAAATTCTCTACAAGTGTGTTAGTTAAGATTTGATATACGACTTATTTATGATAATGCAAGCTTTAGCTTCAAAAAGTTAGAAATTGACTGCTTTATGTAATAGTTAAACATGTGTTTGAAATGATATTATTCGGACTTCTAGCGCTTTTGCTATTTTTCTGTTTATAGGTTTTAGTGAAACATATTTTAATAAAGAATTTGTGATGTATAGGTGTCTCATTTAAGAAAACCCCACGTCTCCTTTATATTATACAGCAATCAAAAACTTAGTTACATCTCATAAAATGTACAGTTATCGATACAAGAATGATATTTCCACGAGTTAATTTTTTTTAGCATGATACTTGGACGTATAGGCAATGATTTGGACGTCGCATACGAAGTTGTTATATTTATTTTTTGCATTTTGTTCATATGCATTTCCGAATCATGTAATAGGGAATACTGTATTTCTTTTTCTACTAGATTTATCTTTTAGTTTTCAATATTAAGGCCATCAAAAATTCCATCAACAATTACAACATCTAAGTCAACATCTAAGTCAAACATATAAGAACCTTGTGGCAAAATAAGCTGTTGCAGTAGTTGATATATCTCCCGCGGAGCCAAAAGCTGCGACTACTCCAGGGGCTTCACTTCTTCTACTGAACAATGCATGGATAGATACTGGGTTGTCTGCAACAGATCCCGATCCTGGTGCGGCAACTCCACCATCGGCACCACCAAGTCCACCGACGGTACCACCAAAGCCAGCAGCACCTCCAGCAGGACCAGCAAATAAATTAATATGATAATGTAATGTGTGAAAAAGCAACACATGCTATGTACGATATCATCTGATAAGGAAGAGAACATAATCTGTCAATTGAATGCCAACTTGATTTATTTGATAAAATTGTCAAACCAAT